ATGTTATCAAAGAATCATTTGTACCAAAAACAATTTGAATACATATTTCCTTTTCTTTTACTTTTAACCTGAGGACAGAACACTTTCCATGTTTGGTTATTCAATAAAAACACTTCAAGTCACATTGACAGCCCAAAGAAAAGAAAAAGAAATTTAGAGATATTACCCACAGGATAATGTGTTAAGATTTGTATTACAAGTCCTTGACTCAGTTTTCAGGTTGGAGTGTCTGGATAAAAATACATCTGAAAATTGAGCTTTTCAAAGCAAGGTTTGCTGATAATTCACAAAATCCGATATAGGCATGACTGGTTCAAATCATTTGATTCTTGTCCAGGGTTTTTCCTGCATTCAAAATTGTGTGGCGGCCGCCTCCACCTAATTTTGTGCCGCCCCCAGCCAGAGCGATTGATTTCGCTCAATACAGCGTAAAGCTCCAGCTGTGTTGATTGAGCAATTGATGTCCCTCTGCAGCAGCAACGTATTTTAACTGCAGTTGCAGCGTTGGGCCACTATAAAGGCGCTATATCAACAGCAGTGCACCAGAAAGACCTGAAGCATCTACCGAAAAAGAAACTGATCGAATCATGTTTTTTTGAGTTTTCTTTCCCGCTAGTTGGTGCTATCGGCGTCCCTGGTGGATGGTACAAACAGGTAATTACTGCTTGTCTTTTTTGCATCCAAACATGTCGTGTTTATTAAAACAAAAAGTTTCCTCCGTTTCAGGGTAACGTTTTTGATTTTTAGCGTTGCAGATATGGCAGGCATAATCGGCCAGTACTTTAAAAAAGCGACCTCGCGAGGAGGAAAGTCAAGAGTCCAGGTGAAACACAGCAGAGAAAAAACGTAACAGGCAGTTAAAATGCTATAATTCATGTTGGTGACAACGTGGAAATTTGTGTCAGGTCTGAAAGTACTTCACAAGGGACTGGTGATAGCGAGGGTCAAAATGCAGGACAGGACGAGTCGGTGAGGCGAGGGTAATTAATTAATAAGTTTCCAATTAGGAGCATAACAACGCAAAGCCAACGTGTACGTGGTTTTTATTCCTCTTTCTAGATCTTCTCAAAAACACAGAGCCAGTGGCTTTGACAAGCAGTGGCTCAATCAATTGACCTGGCTCAGGCATACTGAGGAAGGCTATTTATGCCAAAAGCACTGTGCCACAACACAGCAGGCAATTGCTGCCTCCTTAGTGAGACAGCCATCAACCAACTACAGGCTGGACACATTAAAAAGACATGAGGTGACAGCCATTGAAGAGTGATTGAAGATAATTATTAGTATAATAATTTATTAGTATGAGGGCCACATTAAAAAAAAAAAAAACGTTTTTAAATCTTCGAGAATAAAGTTATCATTTAGGATAATAAAGTCATTAATATATAAGAATAAAGTCGTAAAGTTACCTGTTGTGGAGGAGAGTTGTTAAAATCAGCACTGTGGAGCATTTAGATGAATTGTTCTTTAGTATAGGTTTCACAAACATGGAGATACTCAATCCTTTGGTACATGGGCATAACACTGTCATGAGTATCAGAACTTTAAAAAGAATATATGAGAAATGCTCCTTTGTGGAGGGGAAAATGGCTGGAAATGGCTGTACAGAGGATAAATTTATCAATGCAGCTGTTAATAGCAATAGCATAGGGCTTTAGTTTATCATTTGTGTTTATATGCCATGAGGTGTTGAGGTCTCTGCATGTGTAGGTTACTGACTTACTGTAATCATCGTGTCTATCTCGTCCTTATAAAAACCTGCTCTATTTTGGCAAGTGTCTGTTAAAATCAAATCAAAATCTACCCGGATCCAGCAATGCTGCTTTTTGATTGGCTGTTCAGTAGATATACTTTATCTGATTGGCTTGTGCGTGGCACGCAGCTTCTGAACTCTCGGAGGAACTCACTTGATTCCTACCTGTATTATAGTTAAAGAGGTGCAACTTGGGGGACGTCACCATATTCATTTAAATGCGTGAGAAATACAATGTGTGGCGTGTGAGCATGTGAACGGGTGGGAATGCGTGTGTCACACGCTGAATGCGTGAGACTTGAGAGCCCTGTAACATAAAACATCTTTGTATCGTATTCAGTTAGATCTGGGTCTAAGTATTATATCAATATTACATTTAATAATAGGTAACATCAGAACACAGCCAATGTCAGCCTTTAGCCACTTCTTAGGTCACATTTATTTTTAACAATCAGTTTGAACAGGAAGAAAAAAGAATTTGCTTAAGCATTATGATAGATTCTTTGGAAGTGTTATACTGGTGTATATTTTACACCATGTTAGCCAGCCAACAATATAATGTAAATTCACATGAGCAGATGATGTTACAGTTGAGTTGAGTGTATAACTGGTTGAAATGGAATCTGTTACCAATAGAAATACACAAATCTGACCTTGGACATATTGAAAGAAGGTTGAAACCTGTATGCTGCTGTTGACTGGTATTAGACATTTAATACACAGACCTCGTTTTGTTTTTTCAGAGTAAAACAGAGTTCTCACCTTCACAAAGTCCATCTTTTGTAGTATTAAAAACAGCACAGCCAGCAAGAGAAGAGCAGCAAAACTTTTGAGAAGATTTAAGCCAACTTTTTGTCCAAATATATCCTGTGGTCTCATCATTGCTTCTCCTTTGGAAGCACCTAGAAAGAAACAGAAATTACCAAGTTTTTCACAGACTCCTTGTTAAGACAGTACTTTTAAATTCATTTTGAGACGACTTAAACTCTTATACCGTGAGGTTTGACAAACCAAGTCTTCAGCCACCAAACTGGGAGTGTGCACAATTAGGCTCTAATCATAAAATCAAAAATGCTCAAACAAGATATGAGAGCACTACCCTCATAGTCCATGGCTTTCTACCAGACTCCATGATGACTGTGTAGCTTGTTCCTTTGGTTAAAGATAAAGCAGGAAAATTGGGTTCTTCAGATAATTACAGGCCCATCGCCCTAGCTAATATGTTGTCGAAAGTTGTTGAACGAATTCTCATGGAGCGGATGAATGAACTAATCGCATCTACAGAAAATCAATTTGGTTTTAAATCGAGACACGGGACAGACATGCGTATATATGTGTTAAAGGAACTGCTAAGTAATTATAAGAGAAAAAACTCATCTGTTTTTATTTGTTTTCTAGATGCCTCCAAGGCTTTTGATTGGATTAATCATGGAATATTATTCAAAAAGCTGGCTGTAGCGGGTGTCCCTAAGTATATAATCAGAATCTTGTCCTATTGGTATGCCCAACAGACTATGTTCGTAAAATGGGACAACTGCCTGTCTGCTCCTTTTCATGTCAGTAATGGAGTAAGACAGGGAAGCATTTTATCACCTATCTTTTTTAATTTCTACATGAATGATTTATCAAATAATTTAACCTCATGTAACACTGGCTGTATGGTTGGCAGTACAGTGATGAACCATCTTATGTACGCGGATGATTGCATCATCTTGAGTCCTAGCACAGCTGGTCTGCAGCAGCTCCTTAATGTGTGTTCTGTGTTTGGAGAACAACATGGTATCAAGTATAATGGGTTAAAATGTATTATTATGATCTGCAGAACCAGGGAAGATAGACTTATGACATTTCCTGATTTTGAACTCTCTGGTAAAGTATTAAATGTCTGCAGTGAAGTGAAATATCTTGGTCACATCATCACAGACCAGCTGACAGATGATGAAGACATTTATCGCCAGTGTCGTATGTTGTATGTTCAAGCGAATGTATTGTCACTTAAATTTGGTTGTTGCACTATTGATGTAAAGCTCACTTTGTTTAAAACGTATTGTTCACCTTTGTACACTGCACACCTGTGGCTGAACTATAAAAAAGGCAGCTTTCAGAAACTGCAAATTGCTTACAATGATGCTCTGAGGATACTCTTAAAAAGGCCCAGATGGGCGAGTGCGAGTGAGTTCTTTGTGAGTACTGGTGTAACTACACTGTACAGGTTCATTTGCCGGTTAAATGACTGAACAAATCAAATTGTGTTGCAAATGGTGAACATTGGGCTCAGTAACACATGATGCTTATCCCAATTTTGGAGGCACTGGTACAACTATCTTTTGAAGATGAGCTATTAGACTGTTTTTTTCTAATTCTGTGTTCTTTTTGTACTGTGTCTTGTTTGTATTTTTTATATGGACCCTGAGTCTGGAAACCTACCTACCTACCTACCTACCTACCTACCTACCTAACTAACTAACTAACTAAACATTGACAGTCAGAGTTATTATCAAGAGGTCTAAGGTTACAGGCTGGAGATTTAATAAGACCAAACAGTCTAATATAACGCAGGATCAAGAAGTAATCATTCAAATGTTTCTGTACACCCTCATCAGGTATTCAGATTTAAAAAAGGGCAGAACATTTTAGAAAAGGTGTGGCTGCGAGCCCACAATTGATAACCATCGTGGTGAAATAACTCACAAATGCACAACTCCAGTCTGTGTCAACCAGACGAGTTGACAGGTGATAGCAATGTGAAAGAAAGCAGGGTTCAGAGTAATCTGTAGTCTCTCCATCAAATCTCACAGGAAGAAGAATATTTACAAGTACAATAGACTTTAATTCAACAGAAAAAAAAACACAAGGACCCTTTGTTTTGGCAGGCTTTATTCAATAAACAAAAACTGTCTGCTTATGTTGTTTTTCTTTGTACCCGTGTTCGTACCAGAGCGTCCACCTTGGTGACTAGGCCTGGAACCGTTCATTTCTTATTTCCAGGAGGCATCAGCAACAGAAACATGGGGGAGTGAAGTAATTGTTTGATCGTGTAAAGCAGCCTGAAATAAAAACAGTACATCTTTCTTTTTAACAAAGACTGTAAATTCAGTTGTTTAAACAAAAATACAGAATTTGTGTTTTTTTAAGTAGCTGCATTCAATGGTCTATCGAGTATCAGAAACTGCTGTCTTGGTTATTTGAAAGCATGCTGGAGCAGGGCTTCTGTGTTGTCATTGAATAGAGCCCAACCCAACTACTGTCATATTTGGGGACAAACATAAGACAAGAGGACATTGATCATGTTTTTGATGATGGGGGGATGTGGGTGGAGGCTGTGTGAAAGGTGGTGGGCCAGAACCATCTCCCAGGCATCCACCACTTTAACATCGAGTCCTTTGAAAACGGCTCTGAGCACCTTGTCACGCTGAATGGTGAACCAGTCACTGTTGGTCAGCGACTCATAAAGCGTCAGATCTTTGAGGTTTGCTGTCCTGATGATCACCAGGGTGCCTGGAGCCCGTTTCAACAGATGGACCACGGCTCTGCGGATGCTCTGGAGGCGTCTGATGTAGACCTCAACTGGGAAAGTGCTGAAGTGGGCCCAGATGCCGATCACAACCACAGTGTCAGAGCCACCAATCAATCCATCCAGTTCATTGGCAATGTAACGCATCTGACTGATTTGGATATTTGAAAAACGAAGAGGAGGACCATGGCAGCGATATGTTATCATAATGCGTTTTTTGTGGTCCGACTTCATGAGAGGTCCTGCTTGTTTTGAACCCTTCAGGTCACAGTGCTGCGCATCTACATGTTTAATACAAGGGAACAGGTCAAGGTTCAAGATTAAGGGTGTAAATAAAATCAACCTGCAGCCCAAAATCTCTCTGGATGAGCTACCTGGTAGTGACGCGTCAAGGAACTCAAACCACTGCCTGATGGTGGAGTCTCCGTACAGGTGGACCATCTTTCCTTTCAGACACTGACTGATGGCAGAGGAGGTGTTGAATTGTTGAACTCTGCTGCCACCCAGAGCTCGCCACACACCCTGGTAATAATAACCAGAGGGTTCAGACTTACCAGTGCCTCCAATGGCCGTGGCCTGACCTGAGAAGAATTTAGAGAGGAGTCAATTGTAAGAACCGATTAGGAGCGACAGAACAGTCTAGGGATGGGATTTGAGAAACGGTTCTTGTTGAGAACCGGTTCCAAATGGTTCAATCCATCACATAGGCAACAAGAGGCAGAGTTACCGGCGTCCATCTTACTCCTGTATACCAGTGGCGGCTGCTGGTCTTACAAGGAGGGGAAGCTCATTTTTCTGGCCTACATCATAATTGTATTTGTTTATTAGTATGTAACAGAACAGAGTCGCCAAACACAACGGCAGTCGTTTTTAACAAAGACAAAAGTCGCTGAGGATCGGTAAAGTCTCCGGAGCAGTTAAGAACAGCGGAATGAATAACTTGGAAAATGCTCTGGTAGGTGTTTTATTCTTCAAGATCGCTGATTCGCTTGTTTAGCTGTCAATCAAAAAAGGATTTCGCCTCAGACAGCTCATCCAATCATGGATGCAGAAGCTCGAAGTCCGGGAGAAAGTCGGGACCGCCCTCTCGTCATAGAACTCCAGAGACGCCGAGCGTCCGATGGGTGGGCCAAAGCCCAGCATTTATCCAATGAGCGTCTAGTTTCGCTGCTGGAACAACCCACTTTGAGCTTCCACATTGAAGTCAGCAGAAGCCCAGCGTCCGGCTGTTTAAAGCGCTGAGGCGCTGCGAGGATGAATGAGAGCGAAGTTATGCCGGTTACCTGTGATTATCAGCTTCTTATCACAGTGTCTGAACAAAAGATGAAGGCTTTCTAGCGCGTATTTAGTTAATGAAATGTACACACAGTAGTACGTATTTCACCACTTTTTCTTTTTTTGGGGGGTGACATTTTAAGGGAAGCTGAGCTTCCCTTGCAGTCTTAGAGCAATCACCACTGCTGTATACCATTCGAGTACGCGCTATGGCAGCCGCCGGGAGGTGAGTAATCGGCATGATCAAAAATACTCAGAACTTGCTGAAATCTTGACAGATTTACAAATGTTTTTGTTTATCACAGACCTTAATAATGTGGCTATGAGTCAGGATGCTTGGACAAGTTGAAATGGCAGCTTTTCTTTGAGAAAAAAAAAAAAGACTTAAGTTGCACATAATTTCCAAGCTGTTCGGTTTGTTAAAAATGTCTAAAATGGCAACATGAGGCAGAAATTTATATTGAAAATAAATACAAATATGTTATTGCTATATATGTTAGTTATCCCTATAAAAGAAATATTGCTTATATAACATACATGAAATGATTAAATGTTTTATATATAAATGATGTAATATAACTGCCTTGTGTGTGTAGGCCTATAGCTATCTGCTTAATGTTTATTTATTAAAATCCATGGTTAAAATTATTTGTGAGTATGCAGGAAGTTCCTGCCAGGAACATAACTTAAACTCCGAGGTTTATAACAAGCCAAACCGTTCGAAAATCGATTTAAAATTAGGCAATCTATGGTTATTTAAATGCTATATGCACCATAGACTGTAATGTTATGAGTGAAGGAGCGTCCCGTAGCAAAATGGCCATCTCGCGTTACTGTATTAACGTTTCCTTTTTTCCGGGTACCTTGAATAATTATCTCGCGAGAACCAATCAATGCGAACGAGAACATGGACTTTGAGGAAAAGAACATGGCGGACGGTGCGAGATTTAAGCGGTAACGATGAAAAGCATGGCTTCATGTACTAAGAAAGATGACAACAGCGAGATGTGTAACGTATGAGCAGAGATAACATTCAAAGGTGGAAACACCAGCGACATAATTAAACATTTGTCAACAGGGCACGGCAGCAAATATAAGGACGTGTATTTGTCGCTCTCCACTGGTCGTCAGCTGCTGCTGCTCTGTCTCAGCACGGCATTTAAGGTATGTATGTCCTGTGTTAGCATAATAAGCACAATGCATTCCAGACTTAATGTCCTCTTTTACCCGGGCATGTCCTCTTTTTGTGGGGACTGTCCGGTAGAGTTAATAAAATCCTTCAAATGTCCGGGGTTTTGTGTGGAGGTTTTGAGTTTGTGTAGCGTGGACAAACTGAGTTAAAAGCCTGTAAAAAAACACTCGACTCGACCTGGAAAACCCTCAAAACTTTGTCCACGACTCCGCCCCGCGTAGTAGTGTCCTCTTTTTGGGGATCCAGAATTTAGGTCTAATTTGACCTAAAACTGACCGAAGTAAATGCTGCACAGATCGTTTGTTGTTTGATTATTTGTAGACTCTCGCTGAAGGTGGCATATATCGTTTTTTGTTATCAGAAACTCAATAAACCTTTGTGTTATTGGCGAAAACCTATAGTCTACTTTTTTTTTTTATTAAAAGAAAGGCATTGATAAGGGAATCGTTACAGAATTGAATCAATAAGCCGAATTGATAATGGAATCGGTATTGAATCTTATCAATTCCCATCCCTAGGTGAGTCCTCTGTCTTCCTCCAGCAACTTTAAAGAGGACATGAAACACTGACCCACGTTATCATTATTTTTAAGAATGCCTCTCGACTTCACTGCATTCATGACTCTCAAAATGTAATACATTAATTGTAATACATGACAGAAGTTCCACTCTAGCGACGCTGCGGGGAACCGTAAAGTAGTGCCACTTGTGTGACGTAATGGGTTGCTTAGCCCGCGTATTGACAAGTGAATGAGAGCAGATTAGGATAGCTGAGATGGCGAATCAAGAGCCAAAGACGAGTAAAGGAGGGGTATTTTGTTTTGCGCCAGGCTGCTCCAACCAATTTCACAACGTAAGAAATAAAAAAATGTTGCATTTTCATCATTTGCCACCGAAACGGCCGGTGATTCTCCAACGCTGGCTAGCAGCTATGTAGCGTCAGAATCCACCTGTTATACACTAGAGCAGGGGTTCTCAACCTTTTGCGAGCTGGACCCCCCCAAAGGTGGTTCAATGCAGTTGAGTGTAAATACACTCTTGAAAGCGGTTTTCTCATTAAACAGATGATTTTTTACACAAAAAAATATATCAGACTCTCTCCTAATTGATTTTTTTACCACGTGAGGATGCCAATGTGGTGTGTTTCATGTCCTTTTTAGGTCTTGAGCTCATTCAGGTTTGCTGTTTTTTTATGGAGAAGGACAGAATTAGAAAAAACTGGCTTTACCTTTCTTTGGTGCCAACACAGTGACATCGTTTGGTCCTGAGGCCTTTATGTGTACCTTCATGTTGACACTCCTGAAGAAAAACTCACATGAGAAGTCTTAGACTAGCATCTTATACTATAAGAATCTCAACATTTTTGGCTGCGGCTTCAAACTTTGAATTTTCCAACAGATGATCCATCGTTAGCTCTTTATTTTTTTTCTAGGTGCAAGTCAAATCAGATAAGATTTTGTTTTTGTAATCTCTTACCTTTGGAAGAGGGTCTCCTCTTTGTCCTTGAGTTTTTGGTGGAAACGTGCACCTTCTTGGATAACCCTGGCATCACAACTCAGAGTCTGTGGCTTGTGACAGAACCAAGGCTCACCTGTACAGGGGTCAGTGAAGTCACACAGTGGCTGGCCGGACTGACGTAAGCAAACATTACAGGTGGTTTTTTCGGAGAGCGAGCCTGAACGGAAGAGTGTATTGAAAACGATCCTGTCAGGCTGCTCTCTGGTCAGCCTGTGCAGAACTGTGACAGCCTCACTTGGATGTACAAGCGTCACCTGATAAAAAACAGAGAGTTTTAACATGTGAGCAGTTTATCAGTTTATCAGTTGGAAAAACCCCCTGAACATCAAGAGCATCAGAAATGGTAAATATAACAATCAAAACAAACCAGACAGGAAAACTGAGTCAGCTGACAATCATAGACATCTTTTATGACACTTTGTAAAACTCTCAACAATAATCTTAGAAATTACAATTAGAAGCTTGGGCTCTCAAGGTAAGTGCTTTGTCAGGAAATATTACCAAAGTAGTGATATGACCATCCACTGAAAAGGTGATAACTAACTCCCTTTTTTTGCATAGAACTGCAATTTTGGATATTTTCACATGAACCACATATTTTTTTGCTGGTTTCAAAACTTTGTAAATGAGCCTTCAGCATCACCTCTGGTAAGAAGACCGTGATTAGTTTTACCTCAACCTGTGCACTGCCCTCCCAGAGTAAAGGAAAAACAGCTGAGTAGGAGCCATTAAGGTGATCCTCCACCTTCCCAACCACACCTGCACTGAGTGCTTTGTTAAACAGCCGTGCAACCAAGACATCTCCTCCAAACTTCTTGGCATGACCTTGGAAGTCATTGACTTTGATCAAAACTTTCAGCTGATCTCCTACATGCCACTCTCCTTCTCCTGGCAGGATGGTAAAGGTGCTGTGGGCTGGATCACTGGTCTGCTCCAATAGAAAAGGATCTGGCAATAGTGGAGTTTCAGGCCAAGCAATGGAGTCCAATATGAGACGTTCCTCCACAGCATCTGCAGCAGACTGTGGCTTGGAGGTGCAGAAGTCACGATTCAAGAGAGGATGAGTGGGTGCTTTTTTGAAGTTGGGAGCAGAGTTTACTTCAGGCTTTAAATGATAGAGGATCAAAGAGACAGATGATGACAGAGGTGCATCAAACAAAGCACTCAAAGCAAGTAAACTGAAAAAAGACAATAGGGATGATTTATTTACACTCTTGACCAGGGACACTTGTTGCTTCACATTGAGTTAGTCTGCACTAACCTGAGACCTGCCACAGAACTATAGCGGAGCAGTCAGCTGTGACAGTAAACTAATTTGAACTGCCAGAACACAGTGGGGACATTGTGACAGAAAAAAATGTAGAGTTGGCAGCAGACGCTTAACAGCGAGGTATAGAAATATGGGAGGTGGTACAAGCAGTCAGCTTCACCTTTAACTCAAGTCAAACCTTCTCTACCCCACACACCTTTCTACGTAACATAAAACAAATTTGTTTTGTGTTCAGTTAGATCTGGGTCCAAATATTCTATCAATATTACATTTAATTACAGGTAACATCAGAACACAGCCAAAGTTGACTGGTATTAGACATTTAATACACAGACCTCGTTCTAGTTGTTCAGAGTAAAACTGAGTTCTCACCTCCACAAAGTCCATCTTTTGTTGTATTAAAAACAGCACAGCCAGCAAGAGAAGAGCTGCAAAAGCCTTTAGAAGATTCAGGCGGACTTTTTGTCCAAATAAATCCTGTGGTCTCATCATTGGTTCTCCTTTGGAAGCACCTAGAAAGAAACAGAAATTACAAAGTTTTTCACAGACTCCTTGTTAAGACAGTACTTTTAAACTCCTCTTGAAATGACTTAAACTCTCGTACCGTGAGGTTTGACAAACGAAGTCTTCAGCCACCAATCTAGACCCTGGCAAGCTGGAATATGAACTGAGACTGTGCACAATGAGGACATCCGTTTCATTGAAACTGTCATATAATTATAAAATCAAACAATGACAGTCAGAGTTATTATCAAGAGGTCTAAGATTACAGCCTGTAGATCCAAAAAATGGGACCAAACAGTCTAATATAACACAAGATCAAGAAGATATCTTTCAAAATGTTTCTGTAGACCCTCACCAGGTATTCAGGTGTGAGAAGGGGCAGAACATTTTAGAGGAGGTGTGGGTACGAGCCCAAAATTGATAACCATACTGGTGACAAAAGAATATCATTTTTCTTTCCTTAAAGGATAGGCGATTATACAGATACTTTTATATTTATTGAGTTGAATACAAGCTTTTATTTGTTATAGCTCTTATAGGTTTAAAATATATGTCGTGCAACTATTGTACAGGCAAAAGCTTGCAGGCCAAGTACACTTTATTCTAAACACACACAGGGCCAGGCCACAGGGTTCATTAACATGTCACACTGGTCGGTCAAATTCTGACAAGTTAAAAAGAAAGACAATCTTGCAATTTCTTTAAAAAAGCACAGCGGACAAGACCAAAGATACAGCAGACAGCTATAAAACTAAATGTATGTTTGTGTTAGGGAAAGTATCATCCATTCATACATATTGAAAATGAAGCTGACAAGCTGACAGGTGATAGAAATGAGAAAGAGAAAGCAGGGTTCAGAGTAATCTGTAGTCTCTCTGTCAAATCATACAGGAAGGAGAATATTTACAAGTACAATAGACTTTAATTCAACAGAAAAAAACACAAGGACTCTGTTTTGGCAGGCTTTATTCAATAAACAAAAACTGTCTGCTTACGTGACTAGGCCTGGAACCATTCATGTCTTATTTCCAGGAGGCATCAGCAACAGAAACATGGGGGAGCAAAGTAATTGTTTGATCGTGTAAAGCAGCCTGAAATAAAAACAGTATCTTTCTTTTCAATGAATGTGATAAAAATACCCTCCATAACACTGACACACAATGAAATAAATTTAGTTTGAAATCATGTGAAAACTTGGCTCTGAGGAAGTTTTATTAAATCAATATTAAGCTATACCTGAAATGATCCTAAACAATGATTGGATGCCCGAATAAAGTCAAAAAGTTGGAAATAAAGTCAAATTTTGAATACAGACAAAATCAAAAGTTGAGAAAATGGTTTAAATACATCAATACGAAAAGAGCAGAAGAGATGACAGTTACAGTCTCATACTATTCAACATAAAACTTCTAAAAAGTACCCTGATAGAAGAATAAAGCAATCGCCTTATCCGCCTTCTGTACACAGTAAGCTAGCCACTGATATCTGAGGTAAGTTGGTTTTAGCCATATGGCGAAAACTGACCACTCCCCCTTTTGGGTGAAAGAATTAAAGACAAACAAATGGCAGTATTATCGACATAAAGATGCATGTGAACGTTTAAACGAGTTAGTGGAAAATCATTAATGAAGATAGCAAAAGAAGCCCTGTGGGACACCAGATTCAGCAACTGAATAACTCGCGAGCCGTGTTTGAATGGCTGTTGCCTAGCAACGAGGTAAACTTCCTGCCCGTGCGACCTCGTATTCCTTAAGCCTTTTTGCGCACCAACATGGATGAGACACTAAACATTTTGCATTTTGGAGCAGCTATTTCTGTGACCATTACTCCTGTTGCCGCTGCTGTCATCAGAAGACGAAGGTGGCAGGTGATAGTTCAAAGGCAAAGCCCGTATGTATGGGAGCGGACACGGATGAGGGATTTCTGGGAGAGGATCGTTAATGAGGAATTCACAGACGAATTGTGGATTCAAAACTTCCGAAAAATACAAATACAATTCAAAACTTCAGAAATAACTCTGTCTCATCCCCCGTCCACACATACCGCCCCATCTTTGCTTGAAATGAACTGGTCACATGACCCACTACGTCACGTCTGGTGACAGAGAATTGCGAGAATAGTGTTTCCATTACACTTTTGCGATATACTTCTATATCGACACGTCTGAAAAACCACCTCATGAGAGCGTAAAAACTTTTTAGCGATATTTGAGAGGTTTTTCGAAATTTAGGTGTTTCCATTACCAGTTTTCTATTGCGATATTTAGGTTTAGCGCAAATCTATGGCTAATGGAAACCCAGCTAAGGCCAAGCCACATTCTGCATGTGTTACAACAGCGTGGCTTTGTAGTAAATTGTGCAGGTACTCGACTGGCCTGCCTGCAGTCCAGACCTGTGGCACATTATGAACCGTAAAATACAACAATGGACACCCCAGACTGTTGAACAACTGAAGCTGTACATCAAGCAAGAATGGGAAAGAATTCCACCTTCAAAGCTTCAACAATTAGTCTCAGTTCAAAAATGTTTATAGAGTGTTGTTAAAAGTAAAGGTGATGTAACACTGGTAAACATGCCTCCGTCCAAACTACTTTGGTACGTGTTGCAGCCATGAAATTCTGAGTTAATTATTATTTGCAAAAACAAATTAAGTTTATGAGTTTAAACTATAAATATCTTGTCTTTGTAATTGTATATACGTTGAAAAGGATTTGCAAATCACTGTATTCTGTTTTTATTTACGTTTATCACAATTTCCCAACTTCAATTGAATTGGGTTTTGTAGATAAGGAAGGTCAGGCAGGATGACAGGGCATAGGTAAGGGAGGTAAAGTGGAAATAGGGGGTGTAGGTGAAGGAGGTAAGGATGGATGAGGGGGTGTGGATGAGGGAGGTAAGGTGTGATGAGGGGGTGTAGTTAAGGAAGATAAGGTAGGATGAGGGGTGTGTAGGTGATGGAGGTAATGTAGGATAAGGGGGGTGTAGGTAAAGGTAAAGGTAGGTGAGAAAGTTAGGGAGGTAATTTAAGATGAGAAAGTGAAGGTAAGGGAGGTAAGGTGGGGTGAGGGATGGTAGGTGAGGGAGGAAATGTCATTTGGGGGGATGTGTGCGTAAGGGTGGTCAGGAAGAATGAGGAGGTGTAGGTTAGGGAGGTAAGGTAGGGTGAGGGTATTGTAGGTAAAGGTAGGTGAGAAAGTTACGGAGGTAATATGAGATGAGAAGGTGTAGTTAAAGACGGTAAGGTGGGTTGAGAGTTCATAGTTGAGGGAGGTAATGTTGGTTTGGGGGGATGTATGCAAGTGTTGTCAGGAAGGATGAGGAGGTGTAGGTGAGGGAGGTAAGGTGGATCAAGGGTGTGAAAGTGAGGGAGGTTAGGAAGTTTGAGAGGGTGTAGGTGAGGGAGGTAGGGTAAAATAAGGGGGTGTAGGTAAAGGAGATAAGGCTGGATGAGGGGGGGAGGTGAGGGAGGTCAGGTGTGATGAGTGGTTGTAGGTGATGGAAGTTAAGTAAGATGAGGGGGGTATAGGTGAATGTAGGTTAGGAAGGTTATATGGGATGAGAAGTTGTAGGTAAGGTGGGGTGAGGGTCGTTAGTTGAGGGAAGTAATATCAGTTGGGGGGCTTTGTACGTAAGGGTGGTCAGGAAGGATGAGGAGGTAAGGTTAAGTGGATTGAGGGGTGTGTAGGTGAGGGAGGTAAGGTAGGGTGAGGGGGTGTAGGTAGGAAAGTTAATCTAGGGTGAGAGGGTGTAGTTGAGGGAGGCAAAGCGGAATGATGGGGTTGTCGGGAGGTAAGTAAGGATGAGGGGGTGTAGGTGAGGGAGGTAAGGTATCATGAGGGTGCATAAGTAAGGGAGGTCAGGCAGGATGACGGGGCATAGGTTAGGGAGGGAAGTTGTGATGAGGTGGGTGTAGGTGAGGAAGGTAAGGTTGGATGTGGGGGTTGTTGGTAGGGGTTAGGTAAGGTGGTAAGGGAGGTAAGATGGGATGAGGAGGTGTAGGTAAGAAAGGTAACGAACCATTGGCTCAGTCACTGGCACATCTGGATCCACTCCCTCTGAGATGCAGTGTCCAAACAAGTGAAGGAGTAATAATGTTTAATGGGCTGTCTAAAGGCTCAGCTGTGTCTGTAACAGCATACTATCATACTATTCATAATGTTCACATAAGTAATGTATTAGAACATAATTGTAAGCTGTAAGTAGCTGTATTTTTTTTTTAAACTGTGACATTTTTGGTGTGTAAAATTTAATATGATTATAAGAAAAAAAGATAATCTTACCTGTTCCTGCTTGTGTGCCCAGATGATAAATAGCACTCTGAGAAAGTAAATAGAGTTAGTGCCAACAGTCCACACAGAAATAATGGGGTCCCTGAAGATATCCACTGGATCACTCACTTTCTCCAGCCGGTAGTCTGGAATGTACCTGAAAGGCTTCAGGTGCAGGACCAGCACTCTGAAAAGAAAAATGACAGATGTTTAGCATTAGGTCATGTGCAAGAGTTTTTGTTGTGGATGGTGGCGTACTTCACTGTCGTCCTGTGCTGCCCCTATGCCTGCATGCAGGCTTTATATGGTGTTTCCCTTAAATGAAGCATCTTGATAAATCTACTGTGTTACTGTGCTGTGTAAATCAGGTGTCTGTTCATTTGTGTTGGCTGAGACGTTACTTACCTTGGTCGGGTTTTAAAAGATGAGCGCTGGCCAGACATGGTTCCTCCACATTTACATCGATACTCCAGATCAGTCTCTTATAAAACACCAAAAGATCAACATGGTTTTAACAACTAAATACAAACTGACACAAACAGTGGTGAGGGGATTTAAATATGATAGTGTTTTAGCATAAAATAAAATTTGATCTGTCCTTTTCCTTATCACTGTCCTCACATTTCCTCTGAAGAGATCCAGAAAAGACCAGAAATTGAAACAGTTTAAAGTAGCATTAAAGAAATAACTCAACAGTGAAGTTTTGAGACAATCAAAGTTAGATTATTGGTAGAAAATCTGACAGGCAATGTTTTGTGGGCTGTATCTAGAAAACAAACCTTTCAGTTAGATCTGGAACTCCGCGATTTCCTTTCCGCGACAATTGTAAAAGTTGTGAAACGCTCTTTGAAAGTGTCCTCGCTCTCCGGATACCAAAGTAAACTGCTGCTCTCCTGAATATTCACTGAAATGAAGACTGCTTTTGTACATGAAGGCAAGTCAGTTCTGCTTTAGAATGTCCTTGCTCTATTGTGAGGTCTTAATGAGGCCACATTCTAAGACATTCGAACATTCTACACTCACTTTCACTGACAGCACAATTTGATGGTTACATGTTTACACTTTCTTGAGCCCCTTTTGCAACAAAACATACATCTTAAAGTTGGTCTAGTTATAGCTATATTAACCCATTAAGACCTGAACCCTGTCTGAGACGCGCCTCTGAAATCCCGAGGGCAATTTTGGGAGGGGGCCCCCAGATCATAAGGTTTTCTGAAGTGTTGAGGTTTACAAAAAAGCTGATATCTCGGCCTCTGTAGCAAAAAAAAAAAATTCAAAAAGTATTTTAGAGATTACACATGTGGCTTTTTAGATATCTATCTCTTATTTGTCCGAACCTTTAACAGATAATTGAAAACCTTCAACAAACAAACTCAAATTAAAAACAAGCAGCTGTATAAATAAAAGTAAAGGCTCTTCACTGGAGAATAACAAACTCTATGTTTTCTTTAAAACAAGTGGCAGTCATGATAAAGTTTCCATTTAATACAAATGTAAATATAAAAAATAAAGTACAAAAGCAGCTCTAAATTCTAAAAAAGTGGTGATGGATTGCACCGTGTTAGCCTGGCTGGGCTTGCTGGGAAGACACAGTGTGCCGAAGAATGCACCCCTGCCGTAGAATGCACCCCCTGACGGAAGCGCGGTTGAAAGTACATAACAAGGCGAAATAATTCAAGTTTTCCTTACCATTGGACGGATTCAAAAGCGTATGCCTATAATGATTAGCCGAAAACAATAGCCCTCTGATTGGGAATATTTGCTGTCCTGAATATATAATGATCTCTACCATGACAGCTTACTGTACACCTCTATGTGTGAATTTCTGAGATATAAAAACAGAACGAAAGTTTGCTGCTCCATTTGACATGTTGTCATGATCCGATATTTGTGTTTTTTTTTTTTTTAAATATGAGATCATTTTCTTCCACTTTAAGAAGCGAATGAGTGGATTGGAGGGGGTACATTCTACGGCAGGGGTGCATTCTATGGCATAACACCGGCAAGTGATTCACGCAACAGGCTGGCCCAGCCAGGCTAGCACTGAGTCGCCTCGCAGCGAAAATAAATAAATGAATACGTGGCTGACAGTGTGTTCATCTCTGTGCTCACCCAAAGCCATGCACATAGACTGTGTATAGAATGGACACTGTCTGCCTCCTCGCGGGGTGAAGCCACTCCGAGAACAGCACCCTCTGTTGATGGGCTGCAGTATAGGTCATAAATCCCGCCTCCGCCAGCAAAGCTTATGGGGCTGTGGACAAACTTTAGAAATTTATTACACAGAACATACATTTTTTCTCCCCCCTGCTTGCGATGTTGACATGTCGTTATTGTAAGACTGGTTTGTGCTCAAGTCCTCTTTTTTCTGTGAAGCTCTGTTTTTAAAAGTTACTAGGGGGTTCATGTTTGCTATGATTGACACCTGATACAGCCTATGGGCGTTCAGGGATTGAGTAGCTCTCCCAGGGGATACGCTGTTTGAGCCGAGCGTCATCACAGTGACTCTCTGCGACTGCGCAGCCGAATGCGCACAACGCTACTGCACAGCGCTGGTTGAAGAAAAATCCCGGAAATACCGATAGCTTTTTGGCTTCAAATCCGTATACAGGCAGTAGGCGGAACCAGGTTGTCCATAGTATATACAGTCTATGGTCATGCAATACTCACAGAAAACGCCGATAGTGTGGGTCAAAGCACTCAATCTGAAGAGGTTGTTCACACTACTTACAGCCAAAGTCCTGCTTTGGGAGTTGTGGCTCCACTGGCCACTAAAGCAGGAAAAGGAGAGGGACAGTATCACCATCTCTGCTAGGGCTGGATGCTTCTCTCTGCCTCCGTTATTGTTTACTTTCCTTACGTAGCACGTAGCAAGATCAGGGCATGAATCCGATCGCTTAAGCTTTAGTAGCCTATCAGAGGCAGATGGGTATGATTATTTGATTTGCCACGACTCCAGAAATGATTGAAAAATTACAGGATGTTACAAAATGGCGAATCCGCGCTCCCGGCTTGAAGGGTAGAAATGCTCAGCCGCGCTCCCGGTTTGGAAGGTTGAAATGTGTTCATGCTGTCCCGGTTTAAATGGGTTAAAAAACTCTGTGTCCAAAACTCCAATTTTAATCATTGTCTCCTGCCAATACTACGTTTAAGAGGGTTGGGTTAATCTCCAGACAGCAGTAGTGTTGTCACACTTTTTACACTGTTATATTTCTTGTAATCAGAAGGCCACATCACATATCTGTACTAGATGAAAGACCACAGTCTTAGGTATATATTTCATGTTCATGACATTTCTATATCTTGTGTCAGTGCAGAGTTATAAGCAATCAAATAGAGAGTGTGAACATGTGACATGTTGGCCCACCATGGGGTAAATTGTCACACTATATGGGGTAAAATGTCACAGCTGATTTTGCAGCTAATAAAACAAGGACAAAATTATTGTTGTTCTCGTTTTTTTACTTGGAAGTGAATACCAAAGTCAGGTACAGCAAATGTTTGTCATTGAGCTAGTCATTGAACATAGCCACTGAACAAATGTTAACATAAAATACTATGCAACATGCTCTGGAGTTTGGAGACCTTTCTGTCTCTGTGTTTCGACTGGGGTGAATGTTTTGCAGTACTGAGCCAAGGTATGGTAGTTGATATCAAAGTCCTTTATTGTACTTCAGATTGATGCATTAGCTAGGGTTATCTGCCTGACTGCCCTCAGCATCACGTCAGACACTACACTGTCACGTTCTGTTTTTCTTTTGTAATTCCTGATCATGTCTTCTCGCTTTCTCCTCTCCTTTAAACCAGTCTTTTCTCTGTAAAAATAAAGTCAAAATTTCAATATGACAACTGCTGATAAGCAGACTCTGTGTTAATTTTAATCCCATTTATACATGTGACAACTAACCCCAAAATGACTGAGACATGCTGCCCCAAACTAACCATGTTTGCTAATTCTAGCTTTAGCTTAAAGTTAGCTTAAAACAGAACAATGACTGAGCTATGACAGGGTGCCTTAATCTCTCCTCAAACAAGTTCACGTGTATCACTGCTAGGATTTTCATCTGGAAGAAGCTTATTTTAAAATATATAAAGTTACATTTTTTTCTTTGGGTCGTACCAAATAGGTCTCAGCTCACAATGTGCTCTTCTCCTCTCAGACAAGACACAACCCCTGACTATGTAAGGGAAGAAAAGTAGTACTCCGCTTTTTAGTTGCGCCCTCTGGTGGCAAAGATAATTGCAATGTGACAACTTACCCATGTGACAACAAGCCCCGGTCTCCCCTATGTATCTTTTTAGTCATGTTCATAGTTTATTGACATTTAAGCCACTTGGATTAGAGCATCTCTGAGGGAAATGATAACATCTGGCCTGTAAATGCTCCTCAGGGAAATCTGAAGAAGCTACAAAAAGAAGAGAAGGAGTAAAGTTTAGCGGAATGTTTCTGTTATTCATGAGAAAATTTGCAGCCGCTCATGAATGAATCTGGTAAATAGAGGCTGTCTGCAGAGTCTTGTGCACTGTCCCCCTGTGCACTGATGGTGACCTTAAATTGGATCGCTCATGAATTTATGAAGTTTCTCTTGGATGTTACGCCTACTTGGGATCATTGAGTCACCCCACATGGTGCACAGAACTGCATGAAAGTTGAACACGTTTGTATAAAGCTATCATCTTGATGTGATAAGGCAGCTTTAGCTAAACACAGGTTGAAATGTGTGTGATTGTGTATGCACACACTTCTCAGTGCAGGTTGACATCCATAATATATTGCTTGTTTGTGCACATTGTGCATTGTGACCTGTAACCCGGCTCTTTTGCTCAGACTTCAGCAGACACTTCCCTCGCTTGGATTTTGTCCAATAAAACAGCAAAAAATATCTTCTTTATGATTCAGACTTGTTGTTATTGTTCTTCTCCTTGGTAACTAAGTTGTCTCTTCTCTCTCTCTTTAACCCTCCTGAGCTTCTCCCCACTGAAATAGCCCTGTGATTCACATCCATCCTGCATAAGAGCCCTGTTCAGTGAAACATCCAATGGTGTTTACCATAAAGGTTCAAATTTAGTGCTGGTTAAGGAAGTCCAACCATGAACATCTATGGTGTGTGTTTGTGTGTGTTTTGAGATGTTGACGCAGGGTGCAGGAGTGTGTTTACAGTTTATTGGTCGACTCATCACCGGGCAGTGTCTTCCCAGGGGAACAATGCTCTAATTCTCATTAGGTCATAAGATGAGTGTGTAAACACACAGATGTGAGCACTTAGGGTTTAATAGATGCAGATATGTCTGAGAATAAATAGACTGTCCATCACTGTAACTATTCAGCATGTGTGTGTGTGTGTGTGTGTGTGTGTGTGTGTGTGTGTGTGTGTGTGTGTGAGTGAATCTATGTGTGTGACTTTGTGTCAAAAAGAGAGAGTGACTCAAAGAAAGGGAAAAG